GAGAACATAGGCAAAACATTCTGACATAAATTGTACCAATATTTTCTAGGTCTCCCAAGGCAACAGAAATAAAAGTAAAAATAAACAAATGGGTGATTTATGCTAGAATGTATCCATGTATCTGTATCTAATTAAACTTAAAAGCTTCTGTACAGCAAAGGATACCATAAACAAAATGAAAAGACAACCTATGGAATGGCAGAAAATATTTGCAAATGATGCAACCAACAAGGGCTTAATTTCCAAAATATACAAACAGCTCATACAACTCAACAACAACAAAAAACAAACAACCCAATCAAAAAAATGGGCAGAAGAACTTTTAGTTCTTTTAGACATTTCTCCAAAGAAGACATACAAATGGTCAATGGGCACATGAAAAGATGCTCAACATTGCTAATTAGTAGACAAACGTATATCAAAACTACAGTGAGGTACCACCTCACACCAGTCAGAATGGCCATATCATTAAAAAGTCAAATACAAATGCTGGAGAGAGTGTGGGGAAAAGGGAACCCTCCTACACTGGAGGTGGGAATGTAAGTTGGTGCAGCCACTATGGAAAACTGTATGGAGGTTCCTCAAAAAACTAAAAATAGAGTTGCCATATGAGCCAGCAATCCCACTCCTGGGCATATATCTGGACAAAACTATAATTCAAAAAGATACATGCACCCCTCTGTTCATAGAGGCACTATTCACAATAGCTAAGACATGGAAACAACCTAAATGAATGGATAAAGAAGATGTGGTATATATATACAATGGAATATTACTCAGCCATTAAAAAAAAGAAATAATGCCATTTGCAGCAACATGGATGGACCTAGAGATGATCATACTAAGTGAAGTAAGTCAGAAAGAGGAAGATAAATATCACGATATCACTTATGGGGAATCTGAAATATGACACAAATGAACTTATGTGCAAAATAGAGACAGACTCACAGACACAGAGAACAGACTTGTGGTTTCCAAGGGGGAGGGATGGAGTGGGAATTTGGGGTTAGCAGATGCAAACTATTGTATATAGAATGGATAAACAACAAGGTCCTACTGTATAACACAGGGAACTATATACACTATCTTGTGATAAACCATGGAAAAGAATATGAAAAGGAATATTTATATATATATAACTGAATCACTTTGTTGAATAGCAGAAATTAACATTATAAATCAACAATCCTTCAATTAAAAAAAATTTGGTCCAAGAAGATGTTTTCAAAACTATGCTTAATGATATAAATCATATCATTTAATTCCTCTGCTTAAAATACACACACACATTTATTTTTTCTCCCCAATAAGAAAATTCTAGCTTCTAAGTCCATAATGGCCTACATGGACCCACATGATCTGACTCCTCTGCATCTCTCTGGCTTATTTCCTCCCATTCACCCCCTACCGCTGGATCTCCAGTCATACCATCATTACTGTTCCTTAAGTATACTAAGCTTACTCTTGCCTCAGGGCCTTTGTATTTACTGTCCCTAAGACTGGAAAGATCTACCTGGTTGACTTTTTATTTGGATCTCTGTTCAGATAAATCCTCTTTACCATTGAGGTCTTCCACGGCACCAAACCAAAATAGTGCTCACTTTGCCTCGCAGCACGAGTCACTATTACAACTCCTGTTTTATAAGAAATACCATGCTCGCCAACTTCAGACTATACTACAAAGCTATAGTCATCAAGACAATATGGTACTGGCACAAAAACAGAAATATAGATCCAATGGAACAGGATAGAAAGCCCAGAGATAAACCCATGCACCTATGGTCAACTAACCTGTGAGGTTAGGATATAAGGAGGCAAGGATATACAACGGAGAAAAGACAACCTCTTCAATAAATGGTGCTGGGAAAACTGGACAGCTATGTGAAAAAGAATGAAATTAGAATACTACCTAACACCATACACAAAAATAAACTCAAAATGGATTGAAGACCTAAATGTAAGACTGGACACTATAAAACTCTTAGAGGAAAACCTAGGCAGAACACTCTATGACATAAACCACAGCAAGATCCTTTCTGACCCACCTCCTAGAGAAATGGAAATAAAAACAAAAATAAACAAATGGGACCTAATTAAACTTAAAAGTTTTCACACAGCAAAAGAAACCATAAACAAGACCAAAAGACAACCCTCAGAATGGGAGAAAATATTTGCAAATGAAGCAATGGACAAAGGATTAATCTCCAAAATATACAAACAGCTCATGCAGCTCAATATCAAAGAAACAACCCAATCAAAAAATGGGCAGAAGACCTAAATAGACATCTCTCCAAAGAAGACATACAGATGGCCAAGAGGCACATGAAAGGATGCTCAACATCTACTTATTAGAGAAATGCAAATCAGAACTACAATGAGGTATCACCTCACACCAGTTAGAATGGGCATCATCAGAAAGTCTACAAACAACAAATGCTGGACGGGGTGTGAGAAAAGGGAACCCTCTTGCGCTGTTGGTGGGAATGTAAATTGATACAGCCACTGTGGAGAACAGTATGGAGGTTCCTTAAAAAACTAAAAATAGAACTACGATGTGACCCACTACTGGGCATCTACCCTGAGAAAACCATAATTCAAAAAGAGACATGTACCACAATGTTCATTGCAGCACTATTTACAATAGCCAGGATATGGAAACAACCTAAGTGTCCATTGACAGATGAATGGATAAAGAAGATGTGGTACATATATATAATGGAATATTACTCGGCCATAAAAAGGAATGAAATTGGGTCATTTGTAGAGATGTGGATGGACCTAGAGTCTGTCATACAGAGTGAAGTAAGCCAGAAAGAGAAAAACAAATATCATATATTAACGCATATATGTGGAATCTAGTAAAATGGTACAGATGAACCTACTTCCAGGGTAGGAATAGAGACACAGACATAGATAACAGACATGTGGACACAGTGGGGGAAGGAGAGGGTGGGACGAACTGGGAGATTAGGACTGACATATATACACTACCATGTGTAAAATAGATAGCTAGTGGGAACCTGCTATAAAGCACAGGAAGCTTGGCTTGGTGCTCTGTGATGACCTAGATGGGTGGGATGGGTGGGTGGGGTGGGGGTGGGAGGGAGGTCCAAGAGAGAGGTGATATATGTATACATATAGCTGATTCACTTCACTGTACAGTAGAAACTAACACAACATCATAAAATCACACTCCAATAAAATAAATAAAAATAAAAAATACCATGTATCATTATCTGAACTCATGTTATACATATAATTGTTTATTATCTATTTCTCCCTTCGTTTCCATAAGATGAAAACAATGGATGATAAGAACCATGGATAACAGAAGAACTTCATCTCTTATTCACATTTCTAGAGCCAAGAAAACATATAGGAGCAAGAGAAATAAAAATGGATGACCCAATCAAGGCACTGAGGTCCTTCTCATCATGTGGTCACCTATCTTTTCACAGAGACAGAAGCACATGTTGCAGCTTCACCAGGCCAGACTCATTTGAGCAAAGGGCACCCCCGCATACTTGCAAGGGAGCTTATGTGTTATAAAATGCCCTCCGTGTGCCCAGGGTTTAAATACAACTGCAGAGGCAAGCAGATCAGAGGCGCAAAGGCACAGAAAGCTCCTGGCAATATATTGGATAGGGTTCTTGCTTTGAGGTTACGAACTGTTCTTGGAAACCTTATATGGCGTCAAGATTCAGAATATTCACCAGTCCCATTCAATTTCATGAAGGTGCTATACTTTTGGAAGTACCTTTGGTTGAGATGGAGAAGTTTACCCAAGAAGCAATCCCTCTCTAAAAGGGAGTAATTCACATTTCTTCGGAGATAAGATAAAGAATCAGAAGGAGGAAGGTGACAGCGACATCTAACACACCTTTTTCGTGTAACTTAACACATTCTGTCTGATAAGCATCATTAGTCTGAATTTCAGAAAATTGAGAGGAAGAGCCTCACAGAACTAGATTCAAATCCCAGTTTCTCAGCTGGGATGGGATGGTCTTCAACTCTGGCTCCAAAGCCCTTTCTTCTGCATCATGAAACCTCTCATGAGGTTCTTGAATAGCAGCAATAAAGGGTTCAAGAGAGGGACACAGGCAATTATATCACTGGTCCCTTGGCTCCTGACTCAGCCCCAATATACGCTATGCAGGAAATGGTTCAAGGGCTCCATTACTATTAATTTATGTCACTCTTTAATAGGTTTTGGGCCAAAACTTCTCACCTCAGTGTTTTGAAAACTCTATGAAGACAATTTCACTGTTGACACTAGTGTATTCTTTATCGTAAGAATCCTAGATTTGGCCTCCTGTTCTAATTCATATTATTCCTGGTTTTTAAGTTTTTATGTTTGTTACCATACCGCTGTATTCATTTTTGCTATAAGCCACCTCAAAGCCATTGTGAAATAAAGGTAAGTATAAAGAAATAAATTACACGCCTGCTATACACTTACTGTGGTAGATTACAAAAATGGTAATACATTTTCATGCTTCTTTATATCCATGATTTTTGCCATATGACTTGGCTCTTCCCAGAAAGAGACAGAATATTTTCCCACCCCTTAAATCTAGACTGGCTCTGTGACTTGCTTTGGGCAATAGAATATGGCAGAAATGATAAGGGCACAAGTTCTGAGCCTAGGCCTCCACATACTTTTGCATACTTTTCTGCCTCTTGGGTCCTTGAGGCCACCAAGTGAATAAGCCCAGGCTAACTTGTTGGAGGATGAGAGACGTAGGGGACCACTGGTTCCATTGTCCCAGTCAAAAGGCAGCCACACTCCAGAAGCAGAGACACTTAGGTGATCCGTCCCTAACTCCAGATTCATAAGGGAGCCCAGCTAAAACTAGTAGAACTATCCAGCTGAGTCCAGCCTAACTAAGCAAAATAAATGATTGTTTTCTTAAATAAGTAAGGAAGCAATCGCTACCTGATACACCTATATTCATAACTGCCATGCATAGGCACTCATATATAATAAGTGATTTACTTACGTAATCTCAGCCATTTTAAGTTTGGTACTGTCCTCATTTTATAGCTGATCCTTACACAGGTTTAGGAAGTGGCCTTTCATCTTCTGTAGTATAAAGCAGATCATCCTATTGGATTGTCATAACAGGAAATGTTAGTTAGAATATTTGGCTAAGTTAGTTCCTTAGCCATGAGCTTTAGATTTTTAATTTCACTTATATACCTTCCCATTTGGCCCCCAATTAAGCAGACTAAAAAATGAAGCTTGAAAAACACAAATTCTTCAAATTTTTGCTTCTAAGGTAAACCTTAGATCATTGAAAAGAATGAAGTCAAATTCTACAGAAGAACCACCTTATCAGGGAGGTTTTGCCAAAGTCCTTACAGCTTTGGGGAAGTACTGAGGAAGCCACGTGCTCTCTGAAGGGTCCAGCCTGTCCCCGGGTTGCCTGAACATCCCAAAAGGTTACTCTGTAGATCACTTCTCAGAAGGCCTTTGAGAATACAAATTACTCTCTGGTAAGTTTATGGGATGATACGTCTCAAGAATGCCTTTGAAGGTACACAAATGAATATTCTGTTTTCCTGACTACAAAACTCAGTACCAAGTCATGGGCCAAATTCTGTTTATTCTATTTGTCTTTGTCCACTAAGCATCCCTTCCCAATGGACAGACATAAATCAGCTTCCCAGTGTCAGAGTGTAACAACTTCATGAGATTGAAAAAAAACAGTGTCCTTTCACATTGGCTCTGCAATCTGTAACATGCAAGAGTCCAGATCTCTTCCAGTAAAAGAGATAGTGTAGGTATTCCAGTGGTTGGCTGAAGGTTGTATTATGTAAGAATGAAATAAGGTGAGAGAATAGAAAGCTGCTCAGTTATCCCAGCTGTGCTCAGAAGGGCAAATACAAATTCATAAACTAAAATTAGAGCAATTAAAAAAAATTTCTACTTGATACTCAAAGAAACAAGATGCATTCAATTTTTCTCACTCTCATCTTGCTTCTGCTTTGTGTTTTGCCTTGTTGTTGTTCTTGAGTGTTTTATATACTCTATCAATCCCTTCCTTGCCCAAGGACTGTATGTGTGTGTGTGTGTGTGTGTGTGTGTCTGAGTGTACACACACAGGGGCAATGAGCTTTGGGGACAATGGAGGCAGGGATGGATGTACCCAGAGAATGAGAAGGGGAAGAATTCATAAAGTCAAGGGAAACTAAAAGCTGTGTGATAATAATAATAATAAATAAATATATATATATATATATATATATATACACACAATTGGGCAAAAAATTCAATTTATGAGCCTTAGGAAAGACTCAAAATTATAATGGGCCACATTAAATTTGATAGTCACAAATCTTCCAAAGAACCCTCCATATACCTCAGTTCCTACAATGACAGTTCTAACTCAATTTATTAACTCCTAGCCCTGTAGGATTGGCCCTCTGCCAACTAACTCCCCTTATCATCTTTGCTTTCTGGTGCTGAATATGAATTCTTGCACCTTGTTTATTAGACTAAGCTTTTGACATTTCTCCAGTAGTTATTAGGCTAAAAGTCAATCAGTCTCCTCTGCAGAAACTTTTTTTTTTTTTTTTTTTGCACAGGCTCCGGACGCGCAGGCTCAGCGGCCATGGCTCACGGGCCCAGCCGCTCCGCGGCATGTGGGATCTTCCCGGACCGGGGCACGAACCCATGTCCCCTGCATCGGCAGGCGGACTCTCAACCACTGTGCCACTAGGGAAGCCCCCATCTGCAGAAACTTTGACTTTGAGTGAAATGAGGTTCAGGCTGATTGGGTACAACTGTGGTGCTCTTGAATGACTGGGTCAGGAAGGTAAATGGGCCTGAAAGTTCAAGTGGGAGATGGTACTGAAATGTGGACAAAGGGAGACATGAAAAACTTGCCTCCTGGTTCTGCATTTTGCAGACTTGTTTTACGGTCTCTTTTTAAAGAAAACCATTCTGAGGAGTTTTAGTGTTGAGAAATGTTTTATCATTTTACTTCAATAATTATGAAAAAAAGACAAATACTGAACATATGTATATAGCTTTAGAACTACACTGAAATCCTAAGAAATGTTGTTATAAAACTTTATAAATTTAAAATCAGTAAAAATAATTTAAAGAAATGCGAGATTTTGTTTTTGCTGTATTAAGATTTGCTGTATTTAAGACTGTACTTAAGGATAGAAAGATGTATTTATATGCTTAGTGCCTCAGTTTTTGACTTGATTCTTTCGCTTTTGATAAGCTCTTGTTTGACTCATTATTGTTACTTTTTGTTAAAAAAAGTTTTAGTCAACAATTTATTAGGTTGACGGGCCATTTAAAACTGTGTGCCAAAATGCAATACTGGAAAAAAATGTTAAATTCCATGTAATAAGAAGTTTTCCAAGTGTTTTTATAACTCCCTGTACTGTCTGCTTATGAACTGCTCCACGTACGTGAATAAAAAGATGGGGGCCGCCCTCATGCTTGTCAGCAGCAGTCGTGGTGCTGGCTGCTACGACGCAGGGTTTTTGTTGTTGTTTTTTTACGACTGAGGTCTTTTTGAGCTAGGCTTGCCTAGGCTGCTATTTCCTGAGAGTATCGACTTTTTGGAAACAAATGCAAATTCAGATATGGAAATTGAGTAGCAGGGCTCAATTACAAGGTAACTGCGTAATGTCTAGAGTTGCTTACAGTAACTTGTATGACAACACAAAGCTAAAATTATCACAGAAAATCTGCACCTTGGAGAACACATTCAATGTCTGCAAAACATCATCATGGTTTACTGTTTTGCCTGGGACAACCTGGCCTTGCTAATAGACTTCCTATCAAAGCATCATTAATACAATAACTTTGGGGGCTTTAGAAATGTAGTAACGAGAACTTACTCATATAGTGGGACTTGAGAAGGACAAGATATATAAAGGCATCCAATAATTGAAGGTAAGAAGATATTTTAAGAACTGTTGCTAATTTTTATTTACTTTTCTGCCTTACATAACACAAAATAATAAGTTAAAAATGTTATTACTTTTTAAGAACATAAGCTTTTTTTTTTTTTTTTTTTTTTTATATATCCAAAAAACCACTTAAACAATACCGTCAGGTGTTTTTGTTTCTGGTTTTTCTGATCAAGCCAGAGGATGCTCCCTCATGTCATTTTAGTATCTCTTGGCAGGGGGTGGGGGGGGTGGGGAAGCCAAATCCTTTGTTTTACACAGAAATGAGCAAAGAACAAAATTAAGCAAAAATATTTTACGTCCCCTTTTAAAAGTTAACCTAAAAACCCAAAGATTATTTTGAGTTCTATTAGATAGAGACCATCGCCCAAGGGATAGGCTTGTCCACAAGGGTGCTAACTATTCTTTATTAAGCACCTTATTTCACCTGATGCTCCACGTATCTCACATAAACAGATGTCCCACCTGTGCAATTACTCCCTATACATATGGGCCTTCCCCACACCTTGCTGTAATTTGTGTCAGAGTCTCCCCCAGTATCCTGCTTCTTCCGTAACAGAACATGCAGACTTGGTAGCCACGGGGCATTGTTTCCTACCACTAGGTTGAAATAATCCTGGCAACTGGGACCCCAGAGATTTCAGAGATTTCACCATCTGATTGCCTGACAGAGCTGCTTAAGGTCACTGGCCATCTTAATGGTTCAGAGGATTATTGCATCTTGGGGAAAACATTTTAGGAACAAGTCATTATTGTTTACAGAAATAGCTTAAAAATGTTCCCAATATATAACTGTCTACTTGACTTGAAATATTGTGTAAGTAGCGACCTATATAAATTTCCGTGTTTGTATGTTTATCCGGATAGGTAATGATTTCTATTCTAGGAGTCAATCATTTGGTTTGCTTTTTAGGAACATATATTCTTCATTCTACAAAGAGGACCCTCCCCCCCCATCTATTTTTAGAGTATTTCTGGCAGAGGCTGCTTGCTGTCCTTGACTATCCTTTCTCCTTAGTAACACGCCTGTTAGCAGGCACACGACTGTCCTGAAGAAAGAAAGGCCATGTTTCCCAGCCTCCCTTGTGGCTAAGTGTGGTCCTGTGATTAAGTTGCGGTTAATGAGAAGTAAGCAAAAGGATCAGAGAGTAGCTTCTGGGAACCTAACATGAGATTTGGGTGACATGTGGCCTTTGCCTCTCTTTCGTTACTTCACCCCTCCTGATGCCCGGAAGCAGATGCAATGTTGACCATGAACATGAGGTCATACCATAAGGAAAGCAGCCCAGAGAACTGTTTAAGGACTTCCTGGAGCAGAGCCACCCTACCAGCCCCGCACTGTTTTTGTCTGCCTTTACCTGTGAGACATCTCCTCCTATCGCTTGATCTCTTTTGTTTAAGTTTGTATCATTTGGGGATTTTGCTGTTACTTGGACATAAACCTAAAGTTACAGAAAGCAATTTGGATGAATCAAACTGCTAAGTTCCCAACTTATAGCACTGATATAGCACAAGGATATGTGAAAACACAGGAAGAGGCAAGAGATGTATCCATGAACGATAAAGAATTTCTAAGGCATGCGCATTAAAGCTAAGGCGATCATTTGGATAGCCAGCTGGGAGAAGAAGCATGTTCTGAATCCACATAGGACAGGGTGAGGAAAGGTCATCTGCTTTGCATAAATGCTTGAAGGTCAAATGTCAAGAGTTGTTTCAACAGTTGTGGGCTAAAATGATGTAATCCAGACCCATGGCCTCTTGGGAATAAGCGTAGCCGTTGAACGGGAAGACTAGACAGAAGGGACTTTGAAAAGGTACGTGGGCCAGGCTGACACCAGCCCAGCTCCCTTCCCCTGGAGCTGACGCAACCTGCCCTACTCCACCCTAACCTCTGACCTCCTGTACAGTCCCACACAGAGGGAAAGCCCTGGGCAACTGCACTCTTGTTCCTTTTCCACCCCGGCTGCAGAAATAACCCCCAGCTGCTCCAGGAGTGCCGGAGGGCATGGGGACGAGCCTGACCTCACACTTGGAGTTCTGAGAGGGAAGACAGCCCACTCAGGCAAGCATCAGATGCCTGAAGATCCCTCTTCCTTCTCCAAGTGTGGCAGCTGCGACGAGAGAGGAGGAGACCCTGAGAATGCTCAGTCCTACGTGCTTGGACTGGTAA